CACAAAAGTCTTCCCCCCCCCCCGCCTTTTTTTTTTCCTCCTGAAACATTAAATTCACTGACTTTTAACAAAACAGAAGATATGTCCTGAAAAGTCCTGAGAACATCGTGCTCTTGGGAGTTCAGTAATTGACAATTTTTTTTTTTTTTTCTTCCTAGGTACTGTGGCCTTGATAACCAACTTGTTAACTTCAGTCCTAGTGGTGGGATTCATGGTGACCAACACAGCGTTCATTATCATGCACCCATCAAACTTCCTCAGAATCTAACAGCAGCCTTAGGTGGGAGAAGATAGTGCATGCTGGAGCAGCCTATTGAGTAGCTTTATTTTTACACTTTATTTTTACCTAAATCTCAGCAATCTGTTGGGTACAAATGCAGCATCTTCAGTGATGGCTGTTTCTTGGGCAGTGCTGTACTAGAACTGTTTGAGAATGTGGCATACGCCTATGGGATTATCAACTCATATTTCTGTGACACCATCCACAAAAGCACCAAGGAGCCTTAGTGAGGATTTTAAGGTATGTCTTCAAAAGCTATACTAATTTTTCATTAAGTTTTTGTACCCTCATTGGTCCAATGGACTTTAATTTTAAAGGTTGTCAGGCTATTCCCATATAAAGAAAAGATTTCCCACTTAACTGTGAAAGCATCTTGATGCATATCTAAATTCTTGTTGATATGATGAAACATTGTCATTTCTAATGTATGTGTCACCCTTAATTACTATTCAGATTCAGTATCATGCCATGACTTGTTCTATATAGATGTCCTGGAATTTCAGGTATGTGGTGGTTTCAGACCACAAATGTGGCCAACCTCACAAATGTGAGGCCAACTACAAAACACTTGAGCAAATATTAAAACTTCAAATGCTAGCCAACCAGATCATATCTGGGCACTTTACTATTATGAAATAAATTATTCCACAAGGAAAATGACAAACATGCAGTATATGAAACTGAGCTCCAGAACTCTGCTGCCCTCACCAGAGCCAACACTTGTGCTGAAGATGGATATCCCCTAATTATCAACAGGAATAGCAATGCGTATACATGATAATTGTATTCTTGTCACTGGCATAGTGAAGAGATGCTCCCATCTGTTGAAGACATTTTACCCTATCCTGTGGAGAGACAGAATGTAGGTGTGAAATTGCCTGTTGTGTCACATACGCATGTATGTCCCTGGTACACTATTTTGCACCATGGGAAAGCTGGTAACTTTTTCTTCTGAGGTTGCTTTGAAATTCATCATGTTTGGAATCATCTATACATCACTTGAGTTTGAGGGACATCAGTCTTACTGGTGTCTGAAACTTCAGTGGAAGATAATCCTAAATTCTTCCTTTGTAATTAGCAAATATGGTTAATATGCTCCTTGCTGGACATATTAAATGGAATATAGTGCACACTAAATTGGAGTGCTGAAAATAGAAGGGCACTGTTTATTAGTGGTGGATGCTTCCAAGCGTTTGACTACAAGACAAGTCAGGTTTTGCAAAATATTTGGCCTTGGAATGTTTTCTGTGGCTCCTTCTGCCACCCTATAAAACTAGTTCAATTTGCTAATGGTAACGTGCTGTCTAGGAGTGATGCCACCACCGCTCAGTAAAATGGCTAAGTTTACTTGAACAGACCAGTAAAACATTAGACACTGTCTTCCATGAACTAGACTTATGCCCTAATTATCTTACATGAGTATGAATCAGTCTAAATTCCTAAAAGTTAGTGTTCAGTAGTAGTAGTAAGGAGATCAGGATCTGATGGTCATAAGGTTATTTCTAACCTCAAGTCCCACCATCCTATCGTTCTGCCTGCCTTTGGGTGGCTAAGGCCTTAGTCCTCTATATAGGGACTAGGAGTTCTGCCATTAACTTCACTGGGATCAAGATCAACTTCTACAGTGCAAATAGTAAAGCATTATGCAACTGTTGTAAGATACTTGTGTAAGTCTAATTAGATCAGGATGAACTGCATTCTCCTTTCCTCAGGGAGTTATGTATGGTACACCTTGATTGGAAGAGGACACAGATCTAGCCAGATTGAATCATTAAATGGAAATATAAGACAATGAACATTAGCCACTTAGTTCATTTCATAAATTCTAATAATTAAAACTGCATGTGCAATAAGAGTGGCTATTCCAGATATCCAAGTAAGAAAAATGCACCTTTGATATGTTGTGGCATAGGCATAACGAAAACATTTAGTTAATGGAGGATCTATGTAATAAAAGTTACCATACAGAACCTGCAGTTGGAAATATATAAGCACATTTCCCAACAGAATTTCACTACGTCACAATTCATTAAGAAAATCGGCAATAACTGACAAGATAGGCACAAAATGGATTTTCGTGTTGCTGGGATGAAGTATGGCTCCCAGCAATTAATGGGTTTAGTCATATTAAGCAGATAAATAATGCTATCTGACATTACAGTATTTCACATTACACTAAAATTTTGTAATGTTTGCTCATAATATGACTTGAAATATGTTACCTAGGAAAAAAAATGTTATCTCTGGAACAGTCAAACCCCATTAGAAACCTTAGGCTTGAAAAATCACAATGTTAACAGTCATATCCCCTAGCAAAGGTTTGCTTTCCTTAAATAGTGTTAAATTTAAACCCAGAAGCTCTAGTCTCTTTGGAGTTACTCTTCCTTAGTGCATTGAGCTTGAAAGGAAAATTTAGTGCACGAAATGTACTGTGCATTACTGGATGTTGGTAAGTGAAACACTATGAAGAGCTGCGGAAAGAAGAGGGTAGCCTTTAGAGTCCTATCACTTCAGTGATACTTATGTTCTCTAAAAAAATGTTCCTGTATTCTGGTTTACAAAAAAAGCTCCTAATCTTAATATGACCCCATTACCCTTACAATGATTGATAAATAATTTGAATATTTAAAATCTCATTCTAGTTGGCATGTTTGCCTTTTTCATAGCTGGATATAGTCTACCCGAGTACCATTCTTTTTGTAAAAAAATATTTTACTGTAAAATACAGTGGATCTAAATTACCAGTTCCTGTTTGCACGAGTAACTCCTCTGATTTTAGCATTGTTACTCATGTAAGTACGGTTTTATACCGGAAAATGCCCAATGTCTTCCAAGCATTAATGGAAATAGAGAACAAACACGGGAACATGATTTTTCTCTCATTTGATGCTAATTCTATTCCAAATTCATTGAGTAATGTGGAAGAAAATGTGATTGCTTGTCAAAGCTCAAATGCAGTTTTCTGTTGGGACAGAACGCAGTGGATTTGGAAGTGTCATGTTTAGCTGAAGGCAGTGATGCTTAGTGTCTCAGGACCCAACTCCCACTGAATTTCAACAAGAGATAGTGAACAACCTTCCCTTGGGCTTCAGTAAAAATCCTTGGCTTAAGTATCCAGTCTGAGCTGCAGGAAACAAGCTTTTTTTGAGGTCTTTTAAGGTATTGTTTCCTGAAACAGCAGAGGATAATGTAAGTGCAGAGAGAGTACTACAATTCTGTAAAATATAAAAATGTTAAAATTTAGTACAAAAGGACTACTAAAAAAAAAAAAAGTTCTCAAGGTTGTTAGGATTATTGACTACAGTAAACCTTTCCAAATCCAAGTCATAAACAAAACAGGTAATCTTTTACATGTGCCAGGATACAATTTTATTGCTTCTCAGATAACACTGCATTTAGGCATTTATTTAACTTGAGGGTACTGGAAGAGCAAAAATGGTTCGCTTATGTCTTATGACATTTGTCCTACTGTACGTTAGTGGAAGAGGTAGGGACTTTTCAGAGACATTGCTGGCAATGTCATAAGAAGTGCACACCAAAAGCTTAATAATTGTGCTAGCAAGAACAGGTAATGTCTGCCAGACTCTGATATCTAGATTTAATTGTCTTCAATTGGAAGATGTAAAATATTTCACCACAGTTCTTATATAACCTCATAAAAATGACACTGTTTATGGAGGTCACAGTTCTGCATTGTCTCACCATTTTCACAGATTTGTTAAATTGCTGAAGTGTATCACATCCTGGGAGTCTCAAAACTTCTCTCTGGATGGTTGTGTGATGACCAGTGTGTGATGCTGTACACCAAACCTTCAAGGAACCTCCAGTGAACACTGCTGTGGAGCCCTAATCTCCTAGTATTAGTGTTCAGAACAGATTCTAGTGATAGCAATAGCAACTATGTCTATTGGACTTATTTCTAGCTTTTTCTTTTTTTTAGTGAGGTGAAGAAGAAACAGTTGGTGCCGTATGTCCAGCTGCTGTTCGTAGATGACCACCCAGTGTTGCAGGAGCTGCCAATGACCCAGTGCTTTGGGAACTACGGGCTTTAAAGGGCTGCTTCTTGCTTTCACATCACCTCTCTATCCTAGTCTGTGTTAGTGTTATTGCACCTTCATAGTATCAAAAAGAAGTACTGGTTTTATTGTGCTTATTTTAAAACCAGTACATTTAAAAACAACAAAACGTAGGTAAGTTGGGTATATAAAAATATACATGTAACAGCTCACATTATACAGTAAAAAAGAAAGCACCTGTGTGGAAAGCTTACCCCTTTCTTTGGAAGGAAAGCCGTCTTCATGTAGTTGCTTCAGTAACACGTACTTACACGTATATACATATAAAACCAGAACTTCAGCCACATAAATCTGTTCTCTTATGCGGCAGAGAAGACAGAAGGCCCAGAGGGGTGATATGTCTCATTCTTTCTCCATCACAGAACTGCTGCCATTCACACTGTGTGAACAAGAGTACGGCTTGGGTAAAGTGCGAAAAGCATGAGATAAATTATGCTCCATGTGGCATAATTCCTCCCAGGAAACAGCATAACCAACAGCCTACAAACAATTGTACGTTATTCTGTTGTCAGAAGGAGCAGCTGTCACTATGAACTCTACAATCCTCGCTGAGGAATGCCAGCACAGGGTGTTGGGCCACGTGTGCTGTCTCTGCACTGTGATGGGGGTTAGAGAGAAGGGCCAGTTGTACATGTTGCACTTGTAAAGCTATGAGCCAGAGGGCTGCTGGATACCTTCCTCAGCACCTCTGGCCCAAACTGGGAGAGAAAAACAGTGTGGAGAAAAAGGTTGTGGATCTTGTTGTATCAAACCTTTTCTCTGGATGGGAGGGTAAAAGTATAACTCTAAATTGTTATATGCTATTAAAAAAGATGACTAAATAACTTAGTCTGTTTAAAAATTAGGTTTCTTTCTAATCCTAGCTGCATTTCACTATAGTAAAAATGGGTATTTGAAGAAAATATTTCACTACTAAAGATCCTTGCAATTATGTTTTAGAAGTGCCTTTTCCAGGTCAGGCTCTAATCTATTAAGAAAAGTTACATTTTTATGTTTTCCAAAATAAAACTGTAGTAATTAGATATTGTATTTAACCATGTGAAAAGAGTAAAAAGCTATTTCTACGCAGTTTCTGAGGTAATAAGCTGGCATGTTAAAAATATATTAATGCAAGTCATTCGGTTGTGAGTGTGTCTCTTGTCCATCTTCCCCAAAAAGACGATGGACACGGTGATTTCAGTAAAGTGGAGAAAAGGTCTGTGGCATAACGGTTGGTACACTGTATCATAGTTCGTCATGGTTTCTTGTGAGGTCCTCCCCATAATTAGTAGCTTGACTTCCAACAAACATATTCCAGTTGTCTAGAACCTCCTCTTTCGTTAACTTTTGATCCTGGTGGAAGGAAAATAAAATCTCTGTAAGAACATTTTCAAAGCTAAGTAAAAGACACACCAGCACAGACTTACAAGAGCCCTGGGAAATAGACAGTTCTTCAAAGCAGCAGACTGCACGTTCAGGAACCACTGTAGCTGTCATGGTGAGTGAAATTTGGACCCCAGTGGAAGACAGAAGCCCCACTGACTTCAGGTGGGTCAAACTGTTAAATGAAAGTTCTTTATAATTGTCTCACTGCCGAACAGTATATGGGTTATCTGGTACGCAGTTTTGCCTTGTGGTTTAGTTTTGCTTTCCTGACAGTAAAAATGAAAATCCTCTGGTGTATTTTGTTGAAGATGGCTGCTTATGTTAGCAATTTACACACTCTCTGTGTAAGAGTGTTTTGACTTTTCAGGTTCCAACTTTGCTCACTTTACACTTCTGAAGATCACCATCTGGGATCTACTGAGCCATTAATCTCCCACGTTAGAGGACGTGGATGTATTGAGCCAGTCTTTAAGTCAAAGATGTGTGTTTGATTACAGAAATGGGGTTTTTTTGCTAGCTCCTATGTAATATATCTCTTCTTTTTCTCTTGCAGTCTAAATAAGCATACAAAAACCACTCATAAAAGGAAGAATATTTCTACTGTGTTACAACTTCCAGGTTTAAGATGATAAATAATTTATCTAACGTAATGAAAGCCAATGGGACTTCTAGAGCTGATAAAGTATTTTACTACTTTTACTTTGTGATTCTAACCCTACCAACTGAAATTGGCATTGATACATTAACACACTAGCAATTCTAGCCTCTAAAACTCCATTTGAACTGTACTAATAAGAAAAGTTATTGGGAAGAATTTCTTGCTAACTGTAGTTATTTACAATGTTTTAAAAAAACACAACACTTTATATAACTTTTTAAAAAAGTATACTAGAACACTTAAGTACCTTGTCTACATCCGATTCATAGACCAAGTGCCTGGCTTCAGCTAGTGCGTGATCATAGTCTTGTGGGAGAATCCAGTGCTGAATCTCCTCTTTGTCCATCTTTCCATCCTTGTTGAGGTCACGAAAATCTGAAAACTGTTCACGCTCTGTAATCACCCAGTCAGGCTCTGGTCCACCCTCTTCATTTGCAAACATATCAGCTGGAGAGGAAATAAAGGTCTCACTTGAGTCATGTTTAATTTGCAAATTATGCACAAACTAAAGACACAGTGTTCCTCAGAGGAAGACTAAACTTTTCACTCTGCACAGGTTTCTTTGTACAGAAAATGAAATGTGGGGTGTAAATAGAGTAGCTGTGCATATCTTCTCTCAGGCCTAATTCTTCACTGCTGGTGATCCTGTCCATTCTTACATTACCCTTGTATCGTAACTGTGCACTGCTGGTGAGGCTAACATGAGAGGTCAACCTGCCCAAAGGCCATCATCCACTGAATTTCAGAATGAAAAAAAATCTTTAAGGATCTTTAGCTAAATAGCAATCATAAGCTTTAGTACTGGGCTCAGTCATGTGGGGAGAAAGGAACGCAGCACTTTTATCTTGTCCCTGCCAGCAAATGTCTTTGTGTATAAGATCAGACGCCAGCTAGCAGAGTGGCTAAGGGAAGAAAGGCACAGGGGAAATTTAGGAAAACAAAAATTGCTAAATGGAACTTGAATGTTTTTGTCCTGCTTTTAGAGAGGTCTGTGTAAGAGAAATTCATCTTAGTAGATGAGTCCATTTTTAACCACGCAGTGCTGCAGCACACTCCAGTAGAAGGTATTCTTCTACAAAGAAGGACCTGGAGAAGTGATTATGAATCAGCGGTGCATTGTGTGAGAAACCACAGGCAGTGTACTTGTCATAGATTGGTACCTTGGGATGGAGTACCATTTGTGACATAGGATGCATAGATTACGTACGTGAGCTGCTCTGTATATCAGTCCTGAGCTATATTTAAGAAGGAAAATGCCACAGTGGCAGCGGCTATCTATATAAACAGTTGGGAGAGTAGCAGTGATTATTAAGAGCAAGTGATTTGTAACTGTTCTTTACAGCATAGGCCTTCCAAATGATGAGTAGTGTGTCCATTTTATCCTTCTGGTCATTGTGGCCAATCGTTTCCTGCTGATCAGGGCTGCTTATTCCTCAAGCCTTCCACTTTTCTATTTATAATTAAAACCTGCTTTGTAAGTGCACCCCACATGGATGGTCTCAGGGCCAGAGGCTGGCTGGTATCTATAGAAGTATAAATGCTGGTCTCAAATCTAGGAATAACCTCCGCCCACCCTGCAGTGTAAGCGTGTACACTAGGCTTAAGTTCTCTATTGGTAGAACTGTGCACAGTGTCCCTGAAATACTCTATTACCTGCTCACGCACAGCAAGAATTTAGTTCCCTGCTTAACATGACTAGAGATATTTTGCTTCGCTGCTTCTGTAAAATCTACACCAAATTTTGTAAAAGACAAAATAGGAGGAAGGAAGGAGGAGGAGGGAGGAATCGTTCTATAACCTTCAGGAGATTTCCCCATCAAATACCTGATGTAGAGACTGAAATTTTTGGAGTTCTTTTTGTTGTTCCTTATAAACTACCAAAGAAGAGATTTGGTTTTATGTTTGTTTTTTAACCCCAGCTTGATCAAAAATAAAAGATATTACATCTGAAAAAGGGAAGTAGGAATATTTTAAGTATAGTTTTCCTCAACTCATGAAGAAAACTTCAGACAACACATTCACTTTCTTTTCTCATTTTTTTAAAGTGCAAATTATATTGTTTATTTGAAGCAACTGACACGTCCTGTCAATTTGATTTTTATCATCCTTGCCAATGTGGGGTGATCGTGACTAGAACATTCTATGTTCCTATCTATAGAAGACAAGAAAAACCAGCATTCACATGGTAACAAATGTTGACAATTACCTTATAATTATATGTAGGTAATGTCACTGAATGAACTGAAATTACTGTGGAAATTATACTGCTCTGTTATTTCAGTCATAAATGAATAGCATTCACATTCTGAGGCTAAATATAATTTACAAGGAATAGAAACCCCCTGCCATTAATTAACGTGTGTATATTGTTCCTGATTATATGTGAAGTGATCTTTATAGCACCACTAGAAATGGAAAGATTCATCTGAGTTTAAACTAATGCTTTCCTGGTGCTACTTTCTTCATTTAAAACCTATCAAAGTGAGTGTAGTGGAAGAAGTTAGCTTTTGGTATCAGCGTAACGATTCAAAAGGCTAAAACATATTATGTACTGGTAATCTCCAGTCCTGCTTCCATTTTTCTCTTCATAGGCCTAAGTGCAAGAGAGCAGCTAACTGCCTAGTGTGACTAAAGTTTGTGCAAATTAACTGTGACTGATCTGCTGTTGATGTTTCCCATTTTGTTCTCTTTCTGCCACCGAAGTAATGCACAGCTGACTTTCACGCACTTCACAACTTCGAGAGTCCTAAATCTGAGTGCTATTTTTAGAGTTCATTTTTAATGCATCTTATATTTCTAGAAGAAACATAATGGCATCACCATACAAATCATTAGAGAAGTATGGGTACTTACTAATTAGGAAAATAACTAGTAGAAAAAAGGTGAATTTTCTTTTTTGCAATGTGTGCTTCCCAGCTATTTTGCATAGTCAAGTACCATTCAAACTTGGGAAGAGACTAATTCACTTTCTGATCCTCCTGCATTTCTAAACAATGCCTTCAAAAAGCTGTTACTGTGGTCAAGTATACAGGGAGTATTCCTGTCATGAAAAATATTCCAGACCCTCTTAGCCAAATTATACAAGAGTAAGAGGAGGATTTTATGCTGTAATGTGTGAGGAACCTTTTGCTGATGATGTTGCTATCTGCGTAAAATGAAATTAAATGTTCTGGGTTGGGTGGCTGGTTTAAAACAGTTGAACTGGAGCACAGAAAGGTTCATCTTTGGGTTGTTAATACTGCTGCAAATTTGAGAGAAGATGGACTGTAGATTATATAAGAAACAAACCTCAACACTTACCAATGTACTCATCTTGATCCACAAAACCATCCTCGTTTTTGTCTATGTCTTCTAAGGTTTCCTGGAAAATAGTTTTACATCGAAGTCATCAAGAGAGAGAGAACTGAGAATTCTGGCTACTCGCCTCTTTGATCATTTCACGTTTTGAGGCCTTCACCTGCCCTTGTACACAGGCAAATGTACTCTCACTGACTCCGGTGTGATTGTTGTTTATACAATGAATATACAAATATCCTTTCATGTTGAAAAACTTCCCTGCATGAATGAACTGGACATCATGCTTAAGTTTTAAGTTAGGGGCAGATACACGCTTGCATCAAACACTTAGCTGCTGTGTGTCAGCATACCCTTCCTTTTATTTTGGTGTAACTCGGTGCCCCAAAACTGTTTCTTGATTCCATTTAGGAGCTGTCTAAGTGCATTTAACGAATCTTTCTTACACTGAGAGCTCTAAATCAAGTGAATTTCGTGAAAGGCATCCCTTTCCATTCCCCATTTGGCTATTATGTGTGCGTCTCTTTCTAAACCCTGTGCAGAAAGATTAGAGAAGCATTTCAAAGCTCATCCAAAAAAATAAAAGTAAAAATAATGTCATTGGTTTTGCTCTGCTTACTAAGACAACGATGTCTTTCATATGCTCAAACTCCTCTGGGTGAAGGAAAGCAGTGAATTCTTCACGAGTGGCAGCTAAGTCTCCATCCAGATCTGCAGTTTTGAACCGTCTTTCATCTCTGGGCAGCATTTTTTTAAAACTGTGCTGATCGGTTGCATCTTGGAATTCTTCTGGATTTTCTGCAAATTAATCAAGACGATCTCAAAACTATGTTCCTTTAAAAACGTATCACCACAACGAAGCACCCCAATTTGCTGTTAGAGTCTAGAAATACAAACGCTTGTTGCCAGAATAGCTGCTGTGTTAAAATGGAACTTCTCTTTCCTGTGAAGTTTTAAATTCAGAGGTCAAGCACTTGGTTTGATTTTTAAAGGTGACTTAGTAGTATAGGTAAATGTCTGAGTACGTCTTCCGTTGCAATCCAGGACAATGGATTTTGCAGTATTGTATATTACCCTTCATAGATTTATTTTTTTTTTAATCTGCTTTTACAAGCATTGCTTAGGCAATATTTGGGGCAGATTTCATTCACAGAAGTTGTATTCTTCTTAGGAATCAATATGAACTATACAACTTTTTCAAAAAGCAAGCAAACCAAAGAAAAGTGATTTCAGAAGCTGGCAGACTGACTGAAATTATCTAACTGCTACGCCTCTGCTACAGGGAACCTAACAATTATTTTCAGTTTAAAACAATGACATTTTTTCAGGGTGTTCGGTGGCATAAAACAAATGGTATTTGATAGAATTTTTAAAATAGGATCACTAAACGGACTTCAAACATGAAAAAAACCCTCATATTTCACAATTCACATGTTGGGAGACAAACACAGTTGAAAAAGACTAGGCCAGGAATCACAGATGGGAAGTTTAAGTGTGCATTAACACAAGACCACAATGTAGAAGCTGTTCTCCAAATCTTGGGGATTACAGAGACCAAAGACAAAGAGCTGAGAAGGTCTCCCAGGGATACTGCTGCAGGGATTGCGTGTCAAATACTTCCTTCCACAAATGTAATAAGCTCAATTTTAATCTAAAGCAGACTTTGTACTTATTACTGCTACTGGAAGCTTGCTCCAGAAAGTGCCTCTATGGTAGGCAGATATTGTCTTCTCATTTCCAGTATAAATGGTCAATTAATACCAATTTATTGTTCTGTCAGCATTGCCCTTTAGCTTAAGTGATCTCTTCTCCTTTCCCTTCGTTAACTTATAAAAAGCAAAGGGAATGTATGTGGGGGGAAAAAAAGATTGAGGTATATTTTTTAACACGTTTCTTTTGCCTGATTTGTTAAGGATTTTCATTTGCAGTTGATCACAGTCTGAAGCATGTTATTCTGCAAGAACTATTTTAATCAATAACTTTGCTATAGCTTAGACCCAGCCTAAATTTTTAGCATCTAGACTCTTAAGAGTTTAGAGAGACTGAATTAACAAATACCGGTTAATTACACAATATATTCTTTTTTAATTAAAGTACCATTTTTAATGTTAAAGAAATATATATTTCTAACTGGAGGAGACTTTAGTTCAGCTTTGTTAGTACATTTAATAATCCCTCTGCAAAACCTTCTCTGTGCTGGTGACCCATGTGGAAATGGCTGCAATAAACAACTAAGAAGTGCTTTTGACCTCTGAGCATCTGTAAAATTTAATGTGATTTTCAAGAGTCCTAAATGTGACACCAAACTCCTGTTGACTCTAAGGCATGAAATCATGCTTTATAATCTCAATAGTCTTTGAGCATATAATCTGAAAATGTTATCTTACCTAGATAATAACCGTATGTGGCTTGTTTGTATTCTTCCCAGGCAATTTTATTGTCCTTGTTTAGATCATAGTCTTTCCAAACTTTAGCCACGTTTTCATAGATATAGCGTTTCTGTACCCGTTTAATCCAGTTTTTTAATTCCTCTGTTGTGAGATAGCCATCTTTGTTGTCATCTATTCTATCCACAATCTTCCTGTAAAAAGAAACCAGCATCCTTAGGAGTTGACAGAAAAACAAACCACATGTCAGTCCAATTTTAGTAATCTTTATCTGGCCCTGATTTTCCACAAAAACGCAGTGCCCAAAACTTATAAAGCTGTCCTACTGGCTAAGGCTTTCTTGCATTTTTCAGATTATCTTAAGGGATATGTCTCTATTCATTATTCAATATTGCTATGAATAATTGAAATGGAACTCGCACGATCAAAATTAGTGAACAAAGTACCTCATATAATACCTGGATTTCTTAGCTTGTATCTACTTATGGGGACCTGTTCTTCACTGTCAATAGGGAGTGGCCATGCTGGGCTCAGAGTAGGAGACGCTAACTTCACCTTGGGAGAAAGCCTGTACTGCAGCTTGCTGGAGGCAACCAGGGCAAAAAACTAGGATTTCGTGGACACCTGCAGTTTCTCCTGTGGCTTTCCAGCAGACTGACGCTAGAGTGGAGTGAGTTATATGACTGTGTAATGCTGGGCACGTACACCATGTACAGTCTTCCCTTCCATTCCTGTCCCTCCACTTCTGTTTCTTTTCTTTCTTTTCCAGCAAAAAGCAGTATTGCTTGTGTTGTCAGGAATGCTTGTTACTCACTAAAGCAATAGCTGGTCTACAGCAGGTCTCCAGTCATTGCTGGCAGTTGGGCTATAAGCCACTGTCCTGTATAAAGCTGCTAGCCTGAAGTCCTGTTGAAATCAGCAGGAGTAAGGTACTGGTGTACTCCCAGGGAAACTTCCATCTTTGAAAAAGTTCTACACACAGCTGCAGATAAAACTGACCTGAAAAACTATGTTAAAAAAAAAAAGAGGCAACGTTCTCCTACACCATTTAGGTCCTCTGCAATAAATCTCTCAAGGGATGCCTGTAATTGCTAAACGCCACCAGTTTGGGTTTGAGCTTGTAAAACTGGCTTCTGTCCCAGCTACAGTGGTAGACCAGATAATAAAACCTTTATCTACAATAAGAATGAAGCTTTAATCCCACAACTTGTAGGTAAGCTTGTGTTATATTCTGGGCGCTGACCTGCAGGAAACTATGTACCCTGCTCCTGGAAGTGGGGCAGGTAGCACCATGTCTCTTCTGCGCATCCAGATTGGCTTTAGGCACATCAGCAGTTTTAACCCTTGTATCACTGCTCATGAGGTACAGGAGCAAACTGCCTGTAGTTGCACTGCACCTAGTTTGGTGACCACCTCAAGATAATCTGAATGACCATTCCCCATAGGCTGAATCACCATGCCTGTGGTGATTATATGTTGTTTGTAAGAAGGGGTAAGAGCAGGAGTTGACTTACCTAAATCCTGACTTGAGACTCAACAGGTGAGCTCCCTAAACCTCCAGGCAGCCAAAGGACACAGGGAAAAGTTCTGTACTTTTAAATATTCTTTTCAATTCAACATCTTGGTTCTCCACAAAGAAACTGACCCTGGCCAATTGGAACTGTTCAACTAGTGAAGTGATGTCTTTTCCTGAGCCTTAGTTATGAATGTAGTAAGTAGAGTCAAGTAACAGCAGCAGCAGCTTCTGCTGAATTTCCAGCAATCTTATGTGAGTCTGATAGTATCAGATTGAATTTATAAACATGCCATTTCTGAGCTACGGGGGGAAAAAAGAGGCTGATGAATTTGCTTTCTGAAGTAGTTAAGTATGAATTAACTGACTAGAAAACCTTTTCTCTTTTGTATAAATCTCATAGGGAACTGGCTGCTAAGGGTCCCTTTCACTGCATGATGGACTGTATTTGTCAATGGATTTGCCCCACAATGAATTTGATTTAATTGGTTTAGCTGATATTTCTTTCTATTGTTAAATGTATTAGTTATAATAAATGATTCTGCTAGTAGCTCTTTAGTATTTTTAACACAAAAGAAGTCAGGACTGTTTACCAGAAAATGTTTCATGCCTCTTCCTTTTCACCCACACTCTTGTTTTTATAGATCCATTGCACCCATGTGCACTATTATTTCACTCTGCTTCCCAGTTGAAGATAGGGACAAAGAAATAGTCTTGCCTACAGGCTCCCAAAGGTATGGGTAAGAAGCTATTGTATGGACTGCGGACCTCACTTTTTATACTGATAATTACCTGTAAAATGGCTCAGGATCATTCTAAGTTTTGTAGCGGAGCTAGCGTACATTGGTCAGTCTGAAAAGCCTTAGTGCCTTTATTTTAAATAGTTAATTCCTGAATACAGCAAAAATTCAAGGAACATGTTAACAGACACAAAATGCCAGCTCATACACAGGAATTTACATGCACAAGTGTGTAATACCTGAAGGCTTACTTTCTCCCTTTAACTTAGGTGGGATTACAGTCATTATTAGTCTCCTACCTCATAATGAAGCTAGAGGGCACATGCAACAGATACATACAACCTGCTATTACAGAGATTTAAGCTGCCAGTCTGCAAAGAGATCTGGTGATGAAACGAAGCTGGGGCAAGGAAATCACTGCTACGAAGTGGGTGAAAGAGGAAGGCTTCCCCTCTGCACCTGATATGACTACAACTTTATGTTGATAAACTCTGGCCTGGGCCTGTATAAAGAACAGAAACATTTATATTGTGAGGATCTGTAATCATCTTCTATGTTCTCTGAAAATGATAGGCCCATCACAAATGGCAGGAAGAAGGTTCAGAGAACTGCAGCCCCACTCCTCTCCTTCTTAGCCCATCTCCAGTCCCTTAATGCAGTCCTTGGATGCTGCACCAGGATTATGCCACGCTTCTCCAAAGCCAGGTGAGTTGTGGTACTGCGCATGGGTGGGCAATGTGTGATTCTTCCCTTGTCAGGTGAGCCAGTGTGGGAGGACAGTGAGAGGGGAGGCCCCTGCCATGGAATCTGTCATAAGGGCAGGTACACTCCCAGGTCATGACATGGGTTGGTATGTGCCATCATCTCAAACCAAGATCATACTGTGCAGCTGCTCCTCCACTGATGCTGCAGGTAGTTGAGTTTGCAGGGCTTTTTCTGTATACTAGCTAGTTCCTTTTTGTTTGCTGGAAGATTATGAGAGTAGCTTTGCATTACTGCTGTCTAGCCCCGGGATTCCAATCCCAGCATCGGTCACTGGGATGACCAATGTGCTGCCACCCTTCCTAAGCAAGGTAAAATAACTTACAAATGCAGCAGCATGCACTTTGGTTACAGCAGCAGACTATATGTTCCTGTTTTCTCCCAAAAAGCATTGAAAAATAGCTTTTCATTAAATGTCTTCTTCCTAAAAGCTACTCACTTGCTGAGAAGTGACACTATTTGTAACCCTCATTGCAGAGGTTGCCCATCACAAAACTGTTTTTCTCGGTATATCTGATTATTAAACCACAACAAAAAGAAGAAAGTTAAGTGTTTTAAAAATCCTCTCTCCCCTCTACCTCCCAGTGTGATATCTGAAATTACGAGGCTAGGAAATGCTAGAAGTTATGAAACTGTCCCACAGGGCCCCCCAGGAACCACATCTCTGATCTTCTACTGCACAATGCTCACCCTACGATGTGGGCTTTGGTCCTCAGAGGGACACTTTAGTCACCTCAATTTAAAAGGTTATTGACTGTGGCTGTAGCTTAACGTGCCCGTGTCACCTCTCCAAGGTGCACGCACTGAGATTGCTAAAAGTTAAGCTTCCTCCCTTGCTGAATTAGCGTTTGTAAAAACTGTTTAAAAACAACTCTATTGTTAAATCATATCCCCAACTAAAGTATCTGTAATTGTGTAAGTGTAGACCAATTTTAGAAAGGCATGGCCATTTTAGTGATACACTCTATGAGAATCTAAGTCATAGATCATGTACGCTGAGAACATGGTTTCTTTTGCTCCTTCTTGAAACAACGTGGATGAAATTGGTCATTTCTGATAACCGCTTTATCTGTTTACTCACTGAGATACAGGTAAGTAAGTAGTGACAGCTTCCAGAAGGATCAAGAGGTCAGCCTGTGAGGTAACAGCGATACTGCACTCTTAGAGCTTATGATGGAACTAGACAGACATACAATGACTAAGTCCCACTCCCTATGGAAGGGCAGTGAAGGCAAAGCTAATCTTAGTGAGAACATGCAGATATTTTAAACTATTTTCTCTTTTTTTAACTACTGTTAAACTTAGTTCTAATTAATGGTCTGACTCCTTGTAGGTGTAAAGGAAGGAAAAACAGTAAAATAAGGCAACCGTTGTATGGACTCTGTTCTTGGCGTAAAGAGCAGCATGGAAGCAAGAGCAACACTGTAAGACAGCGGGCAAAGATGTCACAAGTGGAAAAGCTGTGGGAAGATGGCTTCAAGTGGACTTGTAAATGGAGCTGTGAAGAAGGAATGGTTTAAACTTGATTCAAACTAAGATGGTCCAGGCAAGTGACCCAGAGGCAAGGCGCTGCAGCAGCAAAGCCCTCCAGCAGCGGGTGAGGTCTGTCCGACACCGGGCACAGCACCACACACAGCAGCTCCCTCCACGAGGCTTATGGCTGTAGGACCAGAAAAGGCAGGAAAGAAAAATGCAGAAGTGATCAACTGTTGGTTGCTCGTTTGCAAAACCAGCGGGGTGCGAAAGAAGTCTAACTGAAGAGGTATCACCGGCTACACAGAGGTACAGGGTACTCCAGGAGCCCCTCGCAGTGGGAAGGGGCCAGCCTCCCCCGGGGCCGGGGAGCT